AGCAGGAAAAACAACAAATTGTAATCAAAAACCTGAAAACAATCTATATTGTATATTTCTATATCTTTTCTTCTTTCCCCAGTGTGACATGAATACATTTAAATTTTTAATGTGCTTAAGTGCACAAAGTTACTGAAAATCAGTGTTCCCCCTTACCTGTTATCTTTGCCATTTTAATAATAGTATTTTTTGTATAATATGTAAAACAGTATGTGGGAAATGCATAATGTGCTTCTTAGTCATGGGTGTTTTTACTGCCAGAGTAACCCACATGCAGATTTTGAAAAGGTCAGATTGTGTGGCATTCTAGGGGAAATCAATCCTTAGTCTCATTGAGTTGTTTATTTGCAGAAGTTGTTCTAACTTAAACCACAGAGTATCTCCCAAATCCCAGACTGAATTCTGTGAGGCAGAGGTACAAGAATGAAAAGACTGCATTGAGTCAGGCACAAATAGTCGCTTTAAATTTCAAGCTTTGAGAGACACTTATGCCCCTCCTTTACAGGACCAGACCTAGCATTCAGCAATTAACCCATTCATTAATTCAGATTATTTGAGGACCATACCCTGCTATGGTCATTTCACTGACTCCATTTCTGAAGCCCGTATTTTCACACTGAAACGAAAGGCAGGATATGGCATCCTAATTTACATATGAATACTCCACTGTATTTACAATTGCACATTGTACCATGCAACCCGCAGTTTAAACATCACGCTAATGTTACTATTGTGAATATTCTTGTGGTTGGTGTCGCCTCAGTGCTGCCTAACACAGCGGCACACAACAGTGTGAAGAGCTCAAGTTGAAAATTTGCTCTGGTAGAGAAGGTAAATTCATTTAACAGAATAGAATAACTAAACTATACAGGAACAAAAGCTCAAATCAAAAACTTAAGTATGTCAAAACCAAACCATGCATGGTTTTCTGAGAACTGCTAGTATCAGCTAGAACTGTGTGTGCTTATAGTGGCATTTGGTTTGTACGTTAATTAGTTTTACCTGCAAATGTAATGCAATTAAGATTCTTGTCTCTCTTACACATTTGACAGAGTTTCTCTTAATAAGTCATTATTTTCTAGTACTATCCAGTAGTTATAGTTGGATGCAGAATGGGTCTGGCACTCCACAGTGACCTCTAGGTGAACAAAACATATTACAATGAATAATATTGTCACAATTACTAGCTCAAATGAGTTAATATTGATGACATTTTTCCCATTTAATGTAATGATAGCATGAGCAAACTACTTTTTTTTCAGTTAATTGATGTCAGGTAAAGATTCAAAAGGTAAATACTGCTAGCAGAACATAAAATGACATCAGAAAGAAATATTAGGGGACAGGAGGGCCTTCTGGGTCCTATCTCATCAAATTGAAGGCAGCTAGGTTATATAATCACGTTCATTATTATATTACCTCACTTATTATTAGCATATTTATTAGCTCCAGCAATGAGATATAACAGAAGTTCTATCGTCATTGTGAGTTTTGAGTCTAGCCAGGTGACATGCCTGCCTTGGCTGGTCTATCCAGACACCTAATTTATAGAAGCAACCAAAACGGAGTGTTTCGCATCTGGTACAAAAGATAGGACTCAGCTAGCTCATTTATAGAATCATAGAATCATAGAATGGTTTGGGTTGGAAGGGACCTTAAAGGTCATCTAGTTCCAACCCCCCTGCCATGGGCAGGGACACCCTCCACTAGATCACGTTGCCCAAAGCCCCATCCAACCTGGCCTTGAACACTTCCAGGGAAGGGGCCTCCACATCCTCTCTGGGCAACCTGTTCCAGTACCTCACCATTCTCACAGTGAAGAATTTCTTTCTAACATCTAATCTAAATTGACCCTCCTTCAGCTTAACCCATTACCCCTTGTCCTGTCACTACACTCCCTGATAAACAGTCCCTCACCATCTTTCCTGTAGGCCTCTTCAGGTACTGGAAGGGCGCAATTAGATCTCCCCAGAGCTTTCTTTTCTCCAGGCTGAACAACCCCAACTCTCTCAGCCTGTCCTCACAGGAGAGGTGCTCCAGCCCTCTGATCAGCTTCGTGGCCCTCCTCTGGACTTGCTCCAGCAGCTCCATGTCTCTCCTGTACTGGGGCCCCCAGAGCCAGACACAGTACTCCAGGTGGGGTCGTGCAGGAGTGTGATTCAGTTGCTTGAAGACAGGCATACCGTGCCACGGAAGATCTGTTGGAGAGTCTGCTGCCTCTCCTGCGGGTGGTCCCTGTTCAGATGCCATGGGGCATCTCAGGTAGCACTAGACATTTGTTTTCAGGCAAGCCTAAATCCTACATTTTAGGATAGGAGGAGTTACCTGGTAGAGGAATCTCTCTTTCCATTGTGCATGTTGCAATGACCAGATCATGCTAAACACCTAAGCATTTTATTTTTCAAGTTGGGTGAAATGAATCCTATACTCAAATAATAAACTCTAAAAGATTTGGTTTATTGTACTAGTTTAGGCTGTGGTGATCAGACACAGGGCTGCTCAGCAGGTGTCCCCAGAAAAACATGGTTTGCACACCTTGTTATTTCTTTTACTGTATCTTGACCCTGTCTTTGACCATTTTGCCTCCTCTGACCAAGTCTCCTCTCAAATAAACAACCTGTCCAATTACCTTCACAGGTTTTCTACAGACTTTCACAGAATCATAGAATGGTTTGGGTTCGAAGGGCCCTCAAAGACCATCTAGTCCCAGCCCCCCTGCCATGGGCAGGGACACCCTCCACTAGACCACGTTGCCTAAAGCCTCATCCAACCTGGCCTTGAACACTTCCAGGGATGGGGCCTCCACAACTTTTCTGGGCAACCTGTTCCAATGCCTCGCCGCCCTCATAGTTAGGAATTTCTTCCTAATATCTAATCTAAGTCTACCCTCCTTCAGTTTAAGGCCATTATCCTTTGTCCTATCACTCCACGTCCTTGTAAAAAGTCCCTCTCCAGCTACCTTGTAGGCCTCCTTTAGGTACTGGAAGGCTGCTATAAGGTGTCCCCAGAGCCTTCACTTCTCCAGGCTGAACAACGCCAACTCTCTCAGCCTGTCCTCATAGGAGAGGTTCTCCAGCCTTCTGATCATCTTTTGTGGCCCTTGCTCCAACAGCTCCATGTCCTACTTATGCTGGGAGCCCCAGAGCTGGACGCAGTACTCCAGGTTGGGTCTCACAAGAGTGAAGTAGACGGGGAGAATCATCTCCCTCAACTTGCTGGTCATGCTTCTTTTGATGCAGCCTAGCATGTGGTTGGCTTCCTGGGCTGCAAGCACCCATTGCCAGGTCATGTTGAGCTTCTTGTCCACCAACAGCCCCAAGTCATTTTCCTCTGTGCTGCTCTCAATCCATTCTCCACCCAGCCTGTAGTTGTGCTTGGGATTTCATAGTTCTGTTACCTAGCCACTCTTGGCCTCTTATGGTACCGCTGATGCAGTCACCTAGATGGTGTTGTCCTTGCAAAACTGTAATCCCCAAAAGGTCCCAGATAATTTCCTCCAGTCACCTTTGAACATGGGTCACTTCTTCCTTAACCACCTGTGGGATCCAGCTTTCCCTCACAGTGCTAGCTGTAACTTCTGTCTGCTTGTTACATTATTTTCAGTGACATCTGGAAATTTCTTATGTTGTCATGGTCTCACGTCCAGTAGTTTTCCACACCCTGTTCAGTTAATATAACCTCAGAATTATGCCAGTCAGGGCCTGGCCAGTGGTTTAGTCATTCACTTGCAGCACTAACAAAGATGCAGAGGATTATTCCTGAACTTGACCCTGAAGTGGTCTGGAAAAATATTTTCTTAGTTGTGTGATGAGAGGAATATAAAATGAAGATCAAACCAATTTGTTCAGTGTTGAGTAAGATGATATGGCATGGTGCTGACACCTATACACCCACATAAAGACCATCCTGAGATAAAACAGCTCAAAGTGAGCAAGAAGCCACTGATACTCTTAATCATAGACTGATACCATTAAGTCCCCAGGACCTAAAAGAATGGGGGGAAAGGCTTTAATATGGTCTTGTTATTTTCTCTGGAGAAATTCCAGAGATACAGTGTGTGTGACTGCTCCTGGTTTTGGATTGGTCCCAGATGTCAGATCCCAAAGGTTCAAGTTTATCTTTGACTTCTTTGGAAGACAGTTCAGTGGCAATATCATTAATATGCAGATGACACTTAGTCTGTTTCCTTCTTGTCAGCCCAGACAGGAGATATCTCTGTACTTTCCAGTGTCTGGCAGAGATAGGGAACTGGACAGAAGCCAAGAAACTGGGCTCGTTCCAGAGCTTCAAACTGCTTCACAATGACTGGCCTGGAAACAAATTTTGAGGAACTTTTATTCAGGGATTCATTTGTTCAAGTGCTTTGTTGCTCTTGGGGTCTTGATAACCTCAAACTGTTCTGCACTTGCCCTCTGATGAGAGGAGCTGGGAATACCTTCTTCAGCAAACGAAGGAAAACCAAATCAACCCCTCTGCCAGGCCAAGACCGTCGTTGCATCAGCTCACCTCTGCCCAAAAAGAGCAAGCTGCATTCTCATCTCTTTCCTCCTTATCACTCAGTCTCAGCCATGCGCTGCTCTGCAGCTTGTTAGGCACCTCCATGAGCTAACACAACTCACCGAAACAGCAGAAACAAACCACACAGAAATGTGGATAATTCTCTCCACCTTCCTGGGTTGCATTGGCTCTCTGAAGAGTCCAGCAAAAGCTGGGAAGAGGGGATGGGGCAGGGAAGTGAAGAGGAGCAAGGAAGGAAGGTGAGACCTGATAAGCACGCAAGGTGGTACAACTGTGACCAGGCTAACATTACAAAACTTGAGACCTGATAACCACTTGAAATTTCAGCTGCAGCCTTAATTCAGCTCAGTCTCTTTTAGTCACTATGGCTTTCTCAGGGTAAATTACACCCACAGCTTGTTCCCAACAATGGGAGCAATTAAAAGCACTGTTTACTATCTACAGAGCCCTAAATAGTTGAAATCTAATTACTTCCAAAAGACTTTCCTTCTTTTGTCCTGTGGTGACCCCAGCATTAAATAGAGTTGCTTTGGTCGTCTTGCCTAAGAATGAACTTTGAGGAAGCTGGAAGCAAAATATTGTCTCTAGAAGGCATTTTCCTGCAGAATTCATTCCTGCCAGAATATGTGCTAAGCCTGAACTTGCCCACATTTGGTACATGATGTAAAATAGTTCTCTGTGCACATGTTCTCTGCTAATAACAGGCCCTGGAGTCCTTGGCATTCAGCCTACTGTCGTCTATCTTTGTCCTTTAACATCGTGTGCCATTGCCTGAGCATGCACCCTACAGCATCCCACCCGGCCTGCGGAAATCCTCTGCTCTGCCCACACGTCCTCCTGCTGCCTGCACCAGGCAGCAGGCTGAGTCCAAACTCCCCAAGAGGGAAGCGCAGAGATGTGACTTTCTCCTGCCAGTCCAGTCCCCAGGTTTGGGACTGGCACGCTTCCCAGGCCAGGAGTAGCCTGGAGGACATTTCCTTGGGTTGGGGAAGACCCTCAGCCACACACAGACACGAAGCCATAATCTTTGGCCTTGTAGATATGGTCAGTAAACCACAACCATGCACCATTATCCCTGCGGCATTTGCATATGTGTTGCATTCCTACGTGGCCTGTGGTTAATGAGTTGCATGTGGAGAGCCCTCCTACGTGTACCAACCTCTGCCATAATCTGCACTGGTGCTACACGGCAGGGGTGCTGGCCTCCACAGCACAGCTTTTGTAACACCTGTATGTCGAGCCTCTGATTACACTCACCACATGAAGGAATTACAGATCCCCTCCTCTTTCGCTGACCTGTCCCCACGTAGGTCTGAGCTAACATGGTCCAACAGCCTGAGGTACCTCTGCATCCGCTGCTGGGTAGTAGTCTTTGGACCCTCATGTCAGGAGTGATGTAGGTATATGTGAGCCTGTCACAAGCAAGGGGAAAGGACCAGGAACTTCTTAAAGTTCCTTCCAGCTTTCGATTAGTGTTTTGTGTGTTTCAGAAGATTATCCACTTCAGGTTGTACTGATGGGCTTGTAGAAAATGCAGCTGCTTCTTGCTGTTCCTTTGACTTTATATCATCTGTGAACTTCAACTTCCTCCCTACTGTTTTTCCAATATGATCTCTGTGTAATTTATATTTGTGTAGTTGTGCAAATACATACATTTATATTTCCCTGCAGAATATAGGTGAAACACCTTTGCGTCCATGGAAAAGAATACTTTTTTCTGCCCACCTCACACAATTTCCCATCATTTGCCTCAACTTTGAGATCCCAGACCTTCTGTTTTATTATTTTTTAAATTTATTTATTGCTTATTTAGGTGTTTTTCTCATTTATTTCTCATATTTCTCATTATTTCTCATAAATTTATTATTTATCTCAGTTTTATTCAGTCATAAACTGTATTAAGCTTTCATAGAAAAATGTATTAATGTTCATTTATTTTTCTTTTAGAAACAACTATATATATTTGATCTGTCTTGGATTATTTAATGGAAATGCTGTTTCATGCAATGTAAATAATCTGCAACTAATCTCTCGGTGACTTCTGGTAAACCATGATGTTCATTCATTTCTTTTTAGATCACGTTGACAACCATTGGCTACGGAGACAAAACTCCTCTTACTTGGCTCGGAAGGTTGCTTTCTGCAGGATTTGCTCTGCTTGGCATTTCGTTCTTTGCACTACCTGCTGTGAGTATGCCTATAAAATTTGTAAAAAGGTAATGGAAACTTCTGTAGCTCCTACCACTGTTATGATACAAAAAGCTGAAGGAAGCTCTCGACGTGAAGAACAGCTATTTAAGGCTTTTTGGTCTGTGACAACACTGCTGAACTGCCATCCAAAATCCAAATGAAAGGTTCAGTGTCATTGCTTGAGTTTTGGGGAGTTTCTTTGGCATGGACAAAACTGGGAAATAATCCTAAATTAAATTATTGTGTAAGACTGAAATTCTTTTCTTTTGTTATGAATTGTGGCTTATATATTAGTGCTTTTCTTTCAGATTTTTTTTTAAAAAGTCAGCTGATATGTTTTTCTGAATTAGATTCTATTGAAAAAAAGGTGAGATATTTCTAATATGTTGTCTTGTATGACCGTGTTCAGGCTACCAACACAGGGTAGTAGAAAGCATTAAATCAATCAAAAGTTAATATCATTGAATATAAAAATGCAACTATCATTTTATGTGAATGATTGTATAGAAATATTACGGTTTATTTATGTTGCTTTTATCAATGTTCAAGAGACTTTAATGGAAATGGGAGTAGTCTAATGACTAAAGTATAGTGTAGCTTCAGAAAACTTCATTTTTGTGAGTGAATTTTTTAAAGTACTATTGAATAAGCATGAAATCACAAGTGACATTTGTATTTTGTTGTATTGCATCCAATGCAACATATACTGAAAATCAATATTTTTTCTGATTCATTATCTATAGATCACTATAAAATATGTATGTTATAATAATACATTTGTTTGCAACCGTATAGACAAACCAAAATTAAAAGTCAGCATTTGCCAACAGCATTGAATCATCTCGTGACCTGAATTTATTTCTTACTCTAAGTACAGAGAGTATTTCAGTGTTTCTGGCATATCATAATGGGTTATAATTATAATGCATAGATTATAATTATAATGCATTACCTGTTTGTGAATCTTTGACATTTAATGGCAGCTACTGTAATTAATTCCCTTTGTTACCTAGTCACCACTAACAAAAAAGTTAGTCTTAGCTGTACTACAATGAACATGTAAAAGATGAATAACCTTACATATTATAGATGCCAGAACTTTTGTTCCTTGTGTCGTATCTATGTACAGATACTCATTTTCCTCATAAACACTTTTTTGTTCAATCTGTCTGTAAAAGAAGACATATATGTGAAACTTGTGCCTTTCTAATATTATTTTATCCTGACTAAGAATCAAGTGGAAATATTCTTCCTTATAATGCAGACATGTCCAGCAGAAATATTACACTACTTGCAAGCCAAGGAGGGAGACATTCTCAGTCTTTGGGTTTGTTCAGCAGTTTTTTTTACTTACTCAAAGGTAAAAAGGCTAAAAGGGGAAAGGTTTCATCATCAGCTTTTTTTCATAACCTATAGAATGAACAACGGGGATTGTTTAGATGAGAAAGAGTCAGAAGAAATGGTTTTAATCTGTTAAGCAAGGCATTTTCTAACTTTTCTAAAATCAAAAGTTATAATAAGCACTGCAGAAATGGACTTTGAGGTCCATATATATCTGGCATGTCAGGCAGCTGGTCATTTCATCGTTCCTGGCTTAAGACCCTCTGAATGTTCCCACTTGATTTTATATATATATAAATACATATATATATCTCCATGGCCTTTAGAGCTGCAGGAACATAGTGCAGCAGAAACCCCAGCAACGGTTGGGATGAGTGGTCGTTGGTAGCATCACAGATGTTATCTCTTAAGTAAGGAGTCTCCTGCCTCATCACGAAAGGGGCACTGCTCTTAAGCCTTGTACTGCTATATGCTGTCATAATGTGTTATCTGAAGCAATCATATGGCGTAACAACTTCGCAAAATCTTTGTAGTTGATTACATCTATTTGTTGAAAAAACTACCTACATAATGATAAATGGCGTGATGTATTGCAGGGCATCCTTGGTTCAGGATTCGCATTAAAAGTGCAGGAACAGCATCGTCAGAAACACTTCGAGAAAAGAAGGAATCCAGCTGCCAGTCTAATTCAGGTAAATATGAAATCAGTGAAAAGATAACAGTAGGTGATTTAAAGTACATATTGGAGCAAGTTTTATTATTTCAATTTGGAAAGTTTTGTGGAAATAATGTTTAACATTAATAATGTTTAATGGTTAGTTTCATGAAATAAGTTTGTTCAGTGATCGCTGGGTGTTGCCATAATTGTGTATAGCATTTCTATGTGTAGTTTTTGAGTTCTTCTATTCATGCTGAGGTAACCAAGTCAAGGATGTCAATTGCATGCCTGCAGTTAGCGAATTACTTGGAAAAATAGAATTGATCCCTAGACAACTCAACTGACAGCACAGCACTCTTGCCTCTGTTAAGCTACTTTTCATCTACTACAGGGTTTAGAGTGCTCCAATGAGTGATATACTTGGTGAAAATGAAAAGTGACCTGCCCAGAGAATTGCTTTCACTATTAGTCAATTCAGAAGTTGGAAATGTAGGCGCTAGCAATTCCCAAATGTCTGAAATTTTCTGAAGTGGTTTCAGCTCCAATATTGATGTGATGGTGCAGATCAACAATTGAGAAAGATTTTTTTTTTTTTAAAGTAAAAGTGGCTTGATATTTGTTAAATTTGTTAAAAGCTGTTTTGCATGGGGTTTTCCCTTAACTTACAGTCCCAGGTAAAAATGAGAAAATCCTCTAAAGAATGATTTTGCAACAAGCTTTACTCTACTTGATGCACTGGGAAAAAAAAGCGGTGGAAATAATCTTCTAGCATCCTAGTTTATTTTCTTGAGATCCCAAGTGTTTTATGTGTGCTATTTATGCTAGTTTTTTAATTTTGAAATAATAAATCCAAGTACAGAAGCTGAACATGAATATACTAGAGTTCCATGGTAAGTTCAGGATTGATGCCAGGCTGTCTTTGAATCATTCTTAAAGTTAATAAATGTTCTCCATTCTTACTGTTCAATGACAACTAAATACTCAATATTTGAGATTTAATATTTATTAGAATAATTAATAAATATAAATCCACTCCTTTCTTATCTATTGTACTGTAGAATTACTATCTGGGATATTTTCTAAAACACATATATTCTAATCTAATTCTTCCAAGATTGGTTGCTAGAGGAAACACACAATAGATTTAGGGTTTGGCTGTAGCTGTTCTTATTATTGTATGACAGTTCAACCAAAATATTAGTAAGACAGCATGCTAAATAGCTTAAGAGTAGCTAGCTGACTGATTTCAGAAAGTGACTCTCAATGGACAAAAACATTGTGAAAGGAAGACATTTGTGGTGGTAGCCCATGATGAAGGCTGTTCAGCATTTACATGTTCAGTATTTTCAGTGATCTGAAAATTAATCTAAAATTGCTGATGGAGACATTTGCCAATGGCAAAAGGCCTGGCAGAATAGGAAAGATGAGGGCAGGCACACGGGAATGAACCTAAGGATGATCTGGGTGACTTTACAGTGTGGCATGATTCCTTAATGTCTTAAGGAATGTCTTAATGTCTTAATACAAATGTCTTAATACACCAGATACAAAACTTCATCCAGAAACAATGAATTACAAGAGTCCTCTATCCCATTATTAGTGACTCTGGAAAGGATTTGGTGAAGGATGAGAAACACAGAGGAGAAAGAGTGAGAAAGAAGGGTCAAGAGCTTCATACAAGTTCCCAGTACGTTACTCCAGCTGGTTTATTACAGTCCTTAGATACAGAACCAGAAAGTAACAAGTAGGAGAAGGCTGATATTACCACTGTGTATGGTGATGCTGGTACTAACATGCTACGTATCGACTCAGCATCTACAGTTTGTAAATGAAAGCAGAAAATTAGAGAAAGCAAAGAAAACATTGGAAGAAATTGAGCTCAGGACTGGAAAAGTTCATGTTTGTAAATGCAAGATGTGGCTGAACTGCATATCATTGTCTACTGTAACAGTGCCCAGGCTTTTTTAAATTGTCTGTTGTGGATCTTGATAATGAAGTACCATGGAAATCAGTGTGCTCTAGCTTATCAGGATAATGTCTATTTTCTAATCAGTTACTCTGCAGAATTAGTCTGTGCTAACTCCTCTGTTGCCATAGATATACTCTCTGCTAGAACCTTTACCTGACTTAAAGACAGCTAAGGTATCACTATGTAAAACTGAAATGTTTGATATGGGCATACTTTTCTCAGTTTCTTTAGCTTATAAGAAACATTCAGTGTGACTATTATTTAAACATCAAAGTTAAGAGTGGAAGTACTGGAACCTACAGGACTATTTAATGTATCAGACAGAAACATAACAAATATCATAGAAACATAGAATGGTTTGGAAGGGACCTTAAAGATCATCTAGTTCCACCCCCCTTGCCATGGGCAGGGACACCTTCCAACAGAAGGCTATAAACCAAACCCAAAGAATTTCAAATTAAAAATAATGCAGAGATTTTTTACAGTGAGAATAATCAACCAGTGGAACAATTTACAAAGTGACAGGTTCTCCATCTATAGATGATGACTGGATGTATTTCTGGGAGATATGCAGTAGGAAAACACAGGGTATTAGACTCCGTAAAAGAAAACCTGCATGACATTTAATGGTTGACAATATACAGGAAGTGCAGCTACTCAGCTAGTACAAATTAATATAGTTATGCTGACATCAGGGAAGCTGTTCCAGTTTGTAAAACCGAGGATCTGTCTACATGCAGTTATAAATCTAAACGATTAATACATTTTCAATGCTGTGCTTTGGTCACTCACCTTTGAAATGATTTATTTTGTGTGTTTAAACATTTAGCAGAATTTCGAACCACAGAGAATACTTCTGTTTTGTTCTAAATGCTTTTTGTCTGGTTTTCATTATCATTTACAAAATGTATTATGACACCTCAGACTGCAAGTTTGTGTGGGTGTCCCCTATGGACTTGTCACAAATAAATCACTGCGATGCTTTTTTGAGCACCTTTATGCACTGAATATCTTCTGGTGCTTCCACGAAGCCAGTAACTCTTACTTTACCATGTAAAGTGTACTGTGATTCACAAAAGTTTTAGTAGGTTTTTACTGGTATTTCCTTAATCAACCCAATAGAGCACATCCCAATCTGAGCAAAATCCCCCCCTCTCCGTAATCAGTGCGGTGGCATTGTCACTTCATGTTCTTGGTTCCTTTGTGCTTTTCTATTGTTTCCCCATACCAGGCTTCTTGGCGGTTTTATTCTACCGACGCCAGCCGAACAAACCTGACAGCCACCTGGCGATATTATGAAAGTATTCTTCCTCCCCTCAGGCATGTATCAGTGCTATGAATGATAAAAGACAGCCATGACTTGTATTGGTTACTAATCTGCTTTTCAATTTTTTGTTTCATCCCCTGCTCCCTCTTGCCTTGTTTTTTCTTTTTTACCATATATCCTGCACGTAGTGTGTATGGCGTAGTTATGCGGCTGATGAGAAATCGGTTTCCATTGCTACCTGGAAGCCTCATTTGAAGGCCTTGCATACCTGCAGCCCTACAAAGTAGGTACAAATATGGCAGCTGGTGCTGTTCTCGATGTCTGTTCAAGCTTATAGAGAATTACTATTTGTCTGTTTCGTCTTGTTTTGTCTTCTTAAGTCCTCTCATTAAAAATTTCAACTAACAAATCAGATCAATATTATCTAGGAGCCTAGGACAGTGGCACAAATACAAATCATTGCCATTTATCTAAGAAATATCACTGAGCAGAGCCATTAGAAACATTTTCCCAAAACCCCACTCATGTATCAAGGTTAATGTTTCACCCAGTTCCAAAATATCTCTAAGGAAGAAAATACTGAGTTTAATGCAGAGCTTGATTTAATGCTATTTTTATGCCTGTGCCTCTGTATAAGGCTATAGCTACACATCTACCATTCCAAGGGAGGAGAATCTTGTGGTATTCTGCAGGTGAATGCACTGGGGAATTTGCTCCTTTTCATCATAACTTCTGATATATTCAATATTTCCTTAGGCCAAATTATATCCTCAGTTATATGTACAGTCAGTGGAAGATGACTAAAAAGACCTGATGTCACAGTTTGGCAGACAGGAAATATTTCATGTCCTAGTTGGGGTGAGAATTCACAGAGCACTGTCAGCCCAAGACTCTTCAATAATTCAGTAAAAGATTTACCAGAAGGTAGTAAGTTGACTGATTCAATACAGGGCACAAATCAGGAAGTAAAAGATACTCGATAAAGATCAAAAAGGAGACCGCTAAGAGCCTTGTGGGAAAACTCTGATAAGCATCCTAACTGTTGTTATTGCAGACAGTGCAAGAGAATTAGTGGTTTCTCTCAAAGCTAGGTGATGAACATCCATCCACATGACAGTAAAAAGGTAATCATGTGCCAAAAAGCTCAGCCAAAAAGAGGTTTGGCTGGGTACCCAAAGCTGATCTTTGAATTTCAAAGAGTTGACAAGAAGAGAGCCATAAGTAATCCATTACCATAACTGTAATTCCAAAACGCTCCAAACTAAAAGGAACTTTTAGATTAAAAGTTACATGGACTATTGATTTTTGACATAGACAAACAGGTTGAAGGCAATATATGGTATAAATGGATGGATATAAAATTACATAAATAATGTAGCTGTATCCCACCTAAAATATTCTAAAATACATCTGTCCCTCAAAAGTGCATCTACTTGTTATTTTAAATAAGCCTATTGCTGTGCTGTCCTCAAATTAAACCTTTTTATTTATCAGAGATAACTTTATCTAATAAGAGCCTACAGCTTTCTGTTATATATGTGTCAGCAATGCATTTTGCCTAAGTGCTTTGCCAACTCAGTCTGCAGTGGTATGTATTAAGCATGTTACGCATGTGTTAACACAACTGGAAAATTTCTTTTTCGGAAGCATTGTAATTACAAGTCTTGCTTGAATGTTTTTGTGGTTGCAATGTAACGTGTGTTGTACACTAATTAACATATCCATTTATGTTTATCATATATCTAACATCATCTGTAACTAAGTAATGTGATGACTATCTGCATAACAAGTATGTTTTTCCCTCCCACTCCCTGACCTGAAGAAAAGAACAAGGGGAAGCTTCTAGCAGGTTTGTAGTTTCTTTTATTTCTTTTATCTGTGAAATCGTTGCTTCTTAATGGATTTTAGATGTTTCAGGTTCAATGAACTGTAACTGTTAACTGATAATAATCACAAATTGCATTCTTTTAAACTCATATCGATAGACTAATGCTGCTGAAATTTGCTTTGTCCCAGCTTCTGGATGGAAAAACTAGGCAATTTTTTACTTCTTAACTTTAAGGGGGAGCTCAGTTGGAACAGTGGCAGAGTAGTGAGGGCAGCAGCCTCCCCAGACCCAGCTCCTGGGCAAGGACGCAGCCCCTGGCTTCTGCCATAAAGTTGATGCTTGAGGTTTCCAGGAATCGCAGTGGAAGCTACAGGCATGTAGTTGAATTTGGCTTTGTGAACCAGCCCACGGGTCCCCTGTCATAGGGCAAGGACCCCTCCAACGGTGCTGGCTGGCCATCACCTTGGCAAGGGTCTGTGCTGCCCTGCAGGAGCATCCTCAAGGCTTCCTCAGTGCCACGTCTCCACGTTTTCCCATCTTTCCTGCCGTCCCCTCCTAAAGGCCGTTTTGGGACACAGCAGTGGGGAGGAAAGCACCGCTGCAGTGGCTCACCTCGTCCCTCCTGCACGGCTTGCACTCCCGCATGGCCCTGTTCGGGCGGAAGAGGCAGCCTGGCGTCTCTCCTTAGACAAGCCCCACTGCTGCCCACCGGGAGGGCAGGTGGGGCTTCCACTGAGCCTGCATGCAGGCCGAGGACCGGCCGCCTACAGTGCGCAGAGGCGGGCTTGGCAGAGCTATCCTCCCGGGATGAGTAAAGCCCTGGAGATGCACCGTCCTAAGGCAGTAAGGGGAAATGGTGCTCTTTGCCGTACTTATAGCTCGAATCCTTACGGACAGGAAAGGACTCAGTGGCTACAAAAGAAATTACACTACCTCCAAAAGTCATTAGGGATGGCAGTCTGCAGGCGTTCGGCAGCCAGCACTGCGGTATCAGCATGATCAGAGAATAGTGGAGTTTACCTCCAAGCAGAAAACGATGAAAAGCCAAGAAAAAAAGTGTCGGCGACACATCAACCCCTGAAATACATCCTCCCCCGTGTTGTACTGTGGTTCACAAACTATTCTGGGTTATTCAGTCAGGAGTGGAAAGTCTTCACATCAATTACCCATGTCCCGCTCCACTTTCCAGGTGGCTCCTCTGGCGCCTGACTCCATCCTTTTCCCCGATGTGCGCAGTAACTCGAGGGGACGGGGTTTCCTCTGAGATGTCCCTCCTGAGCACTTCACCTGCTCTGTCAGTTCTATGACTTTTCGTATACATTACCTCCATAAGCTTGCTAGCAACCTATTGGTCTCGTTAAATTATTACAGCTCGATCTAAACCTTTTGCACTTGCCAGCCGTATTTCCTACTCCTTCAACAGCAACATTTAAAATTGACTTCAGGTTTTTTAAAGGTGAGACTGAAGTTGGCAGTAAATGAGTACGTACCTCCAAAATAGTGATTTGTGCGGAGGGGAGAGGTTACTCCCAGTTGTACTTGCAAGCTCTTAAAGAGACAAATTTGCTTACAATAAGTAAAAGCTAGATGCTAAAAAAACCCAGCTGTCAAAACTGTATTACATGCTCCATGTTAGTGATAACTGCTGTGGTTTTAAAAGCAGTCAATGATTTAGCCGGATTTTTTTGCTTTATTTTCACTGAATGGAAGATATTTGTCCCTTCAGAAACTCTTAACATGTGCACTGCTGCAAATTAGTGTAGGTATAAAAATGAACTAGTTAACTCCTGAGATCCTGGTCTACAGTAAAAACCCTACAGACCACTCAGTGCCGTTTAAAAAAAGTTGTGTTTTATGGGTGGCTGTTTATAGTTCTTAGCTGATCTATTGCTGTATGTTTGTATCACTTAAAATACATGTGGTGTACGTGGTTTTTTGTGGTAAAAATGTAAATGCAAAGTGCTGCAATGTACTTTGAGATAACTGTCCTCGACTATTTAACTTCTTTCTTACTGCAATGCTGAGTGACTTGCATTGGATGCTATGTGAACTAAGTAAGCTGCTTCTTGTTTCACTCTTTAAATGAAGATGTGTTTGCACAAGTAGTGCATTGGATTGCTTTCTGAATATGCTCTTTGCTCAGTACTCCATTCTAATAACATTGGAGAAAACCTTCTATTGCTTTAGGTAAAAGTTAATTATTTTCTTTCCTACCAAAATGACTTTTATATTTACAGAAATGAATTCTTGCATTTTGTCATGTATAGACCTACAGTCTTTCATTAGGTAGCTAAATTTTGCTGTGCATTTGAGTTGAGAGCTGTGCTTGTGAGGCTGTAGCTTCATACTGGTTTTAAGAAAAATATGTGTGTTGTAGTTCTCAAAATATTATACATGAGTATTCTAATTAATCATTTATCAAAAGTAATGGTAGACAACCTTTCTGGTGTATCCATGCTGTAAATGAGATATTTCTATAAATCAGTTCTAGAGTTCTGCGAGTCATTTTAAAAGCCTGTATGTTAAATTCTCCATATCTACAAATGCACACACTGAAAACAAAAAAATATTTATTTCTGTTCAACTATACAATGTGGCTGAAATTCTTCCTGTGCAGGAAAGTAGGCCAGAACTGATGAATCTTACAACATCCTGAGAGTATAAGCAGTCTTAAGCTGTGTGTAGGACATGCATTGGGTGTCTGCAAAGAATGAATGTCACCCATCTAGTGTTGTAACTAGTGAGCCTGACTATGAATTCCCTATTCAGACAACTCTCTCCGGTGCAATAAGGAGGAGTTTTGCCAGTATAGGAGCTTGGAGGAAAAACTCATCCCTCCTCTGAAGGAAACAAGTAAATTGTACTCTGGAATTCTCTCCACCTCCTATATCATATCTGTTTCTAAAAATAGATTTAATGTAAAGTCTCTGCATGCACCATATGAAAAAGAAATTGCCAGTGATGCAGAATCTAACTTGAGGTGGAAAGCCTGACCCCGTACCTAGCAGTGGAATGCTTAGTAACACGGTCCTCTATCTCCCCTCACTCCTAGTAAGCTTTGTAGTAATAAACAGAAGCTCTTCAGGATGTACACCCCTCGGAAACATAGGTATTCAGCATCCTGCCTATTCACATGACGTTTGAGAATGCCAACTAACATCAGGTGCATGATTCATTTACTTCCCCTCCTTAACGCTTTAAAGTTCCTTACTTCTCCAAAGAAGGTTTCTTGATTTTTTTTTTTTTTAAGTGCTTGTGATTCCCCTCGTTGCTTGTTGCCTGCAATGACATTAAGACAATGGCAATAATACCAGTTCTTTGAATCTCATCTGGTCAGAAAATTGCAGTGTGCAGCACGCCGCCGTTTGCCAAAGCCCGGTTCCCCTTCTCTGCCTGAGACTTGAACTTTTGGAATGCGTTACACTGCAGAGATATAAAACTGGGGTTGAATATTTGGGTAAAGACATTTCCCCAAGTCCAAGAGGATTTTTATAACCACAGAAGTTGAGGTCTCCATCTAATAATTAGTGGGGAATATTAAGCTATAACATGTCAGGCAATATCAACAGTCAAAATGTGCAATTGTTGGTGAGAAGAATCCCCTTGGACACAGCCCGTGGAAGCTGTGCCTGCGCCCTGTACTGGAAGGTAGAGGAATGCATGTGAAATCAACCATCTGCTTCAGCTGAATTCTCTGGAAATTGTGTCTCTTACCAAAAATGGTAATGCCTAGATGGATGGATCTTACAGGAAGAAACCCTTGATGTATAACTAAAGCATATTACTTTTTTTTTTCCTTACTTTTTAACAATAATTTAAATGACAATGAAAGTACAAACTGATGATAGAAAATTTAGATTAAAAAATAGTTTCTCTTTGTCTGGAAACTGTTTTGAAAAAGGAAAAAATATACAAAACCCCTGAACTTCATTTATTTTTTTCTGTTTGATGATTGAACTGTAAGACATTATATTCCTGAAATTCTTGTTATTACTCATTGAAGGTATGAGATATAACACTACATTTCTTGGGTTCATGCTCCTAGCACGAGACTGGTGGAGAAGTCTTGAACGTTTGAACTTCAGGCCTCGCTGTACTATCCATTGCATTTGCATTTGTTCAACTTAGCTTAATTTCAGTAAAGTCAACTATAGGCTTGGTAAGAATCTGTATTTATTGGAAGTTCACTGCTGAAAATTGGCACATACGTTTGCTTGCTGTTCTTTGTCATGGGTGATAGTTTTTGGCAGTTTTAGCTTCTGTTTCGACTCGAGATCCAAAGCATTCTCCCTCACCTTCAGGGCCTCCAGTTACTTCTGATTCATTTAAATTTCTTCCTGTTCCCACTTCACCAGCTGGCTCAGTCTGAAAAGCTTAAAAAACAAATCGTAAATTGTGACTAGTAGCAAGCAGTTGTGCTGCAGGTCTGAGGCTGAAGCAGGGCAGATGATAAACTTGACGAGAAATGCAGGAAGGTAGTCAGGGAAATGGGGCAGTGGGACTGGGAGGCAAAGAGATGCTCCATTAACCAAAAAGTATAGTAAGATAGTCCATTTAGACAGACAGAGCTGTGAGTAGGGGAAAGAAAAGCAAAGGTTTGTAGGCATTTATCAATTAAAACAAAATCTTATCGAGTCTAGTCATTTGGGCCAGCAGAGAAGTGTTCGTTCCCCCTGCAGTGAAGCTACAGTGGCCTCTAGTGTCCCTCAACACCTATTCCTTCATAAATCAAAGGCAGAAAAGACAGAATTTAAAAAAGAAGAAATAAGAACTAGGAAGTCCTTTGCTGTCCGAGGGAAGTGAATGTACTGACAGGAGGAATGAGCGGTAAGATCCTACAACTGACCTCCCAGAAGGCAAACAAATTGATCTCCACTAAAAGATGCTTCAAAGCTTCAGTGTTATCAATATGAATACATACCACAAGTAGTAACCTGCAAGAAAAGAGGAGTAATAGACCCAAAGAGATTCCCATTGACAGGGAAGATTGAGGCAGAAAGCAAATATGTATATAAACCGACTGGAATAAACTATCAGTCGTGCAAGGTACAAGAAATGATGGACAGACACACATCTAAAAGAGTGCAGAGATGACTAGAGATAGCTGTGATTCTCTCAGATCCTTGTCGTTTAGGTCTGATTCAGAAAACTGTGCAATTTCAGAAAGCATTTAGACACCCATTTTCCTGATTCTTTCTCATGGTTTTTGCCTTTTTGACCAACATTCAACTTAAAGTTTGGGAGTACTTACAGGAAAACATGAATTTCCAATGGCTATTAACAGGTTTGCATTAATTCAAGAGATTTCCTTTGGATATCTTGTAAAAAGAGAGGAGAAAAGGGGAGAGAGAAAAATATAACAGGCTAGGTCCTGCAAGTGGCGAAGGATTTTTAGCATGGCACTGGACAGTGCTAATCCAACCATCACTAATCAGAGTAAAGGGCCCTAAAGACTTCAGTGGCCACTGACTCAAGTGCAGAATGCCCAAGGGTGCTTGAAAGGCCATAAGATTATCTCCATTCTGTATCTCTAATACTTTCTCCACCACTATTGCAACAGAAAATCAAGAGCCAGGAACTATATAACCTATAAGGAAAGGGACTTTGACTGTGGAAAACAGCCTAGTCAGGATGCCCCCAAAATACTCTGATTCAGTTATTCCTTCATGATCTGTTTGTTTATCATAGCTAGAAGAGCCTCATGGCAGGGTGCTCCCAAGGACAGCTGCTTTCTTCTCCCAGGCGCAAATTCTCCGCTACTGCAAGCCATATGATTTCTGCCTACACTGAGTAGGACCCAGTGACTTCAGGAACATTTCCCACCAGTCTCAAAATAGGAACAGGGATCCAAGAAGCGAAGAACTGCTATAACCAGTGTCTTTGGAGAAACTCTCAAGATGCAAGATAGAGTTTCCAAACCACGCTTCCTTCAGGGTCTGCGTTTCTCTTCATGATGCAGCATCCTCTGCATGGACCCTTGGCATGCCGTTACATTGCCATTGCTAAAAAACAGTTGTTGGTTTGGTTTGGTTTGGGTTTTTTACATACGAGGTCTGCATTTTAAATTAATATTTTCATTCTCAGTGTTGCACTTTTGAAAAATGTCTCTAGTACAGATGAGGTGTCTACTGTTCCTTTCACCATTGCCTCATTGCTTTGATTTGGAGAACTAAAGATACTCAGGTTAAGTAGCCATTGTGTACCATTCAGCTTTTATAAATGAAATAACCATGTGTACAAATCATTTAAAGGCAGCCATTACGTTCATTAGTACAAATTAATTGACAGAAGAACACGTGTGCTTTTTTCATTTTTAGTTTTTATTCAATGAGATTATAAAAAATACTGTCCATACTGATCATTTTAATGGTTATTTTATCAATTTTCTGTTTGTTTTAATTAGTGCAAGAGGAAGAGAGCTGTCCGGAAAGTTTTTTACTCTAAGATTTGTCAAAAGAAAAAATTAATTTGATTTCATGCTTCAATAGCAAATACAATTTGAGCTATAAGATGATTTTAAAAAAGCATAGGGGACACATGCCTACAAATAATACCTATAATAAATCCATTTTGATTCTATTGCTCATGCTGTATAGTATGACAATGCAATAATGTGGTTAATAAATATTTTATAGCTTATATTTTCATTAAGTTGTATAATGCAAAAGATTCCTGAGCTGAAATGTAATTCAGTCTTGAAATGTAATTTTTACTGAAAATTAGATTTTAGAACTCACTTTTCTTTCAAATAGTAGGTTCTGTGGGTCTTTTGTATTGCATATGCAAGAGTACTGCAGGTGTGGGTAACAATTTGCAATGGAAATAGATAACATTTCCAGCATCACCATGCGTTTATTTCAACAATTGCTTTCTTTGGGCAAGGGAAGAAGGGGATTACATTCAGAAATTATAGTGAAGGTATTCTTTCAAGTGATTCAACATGCCATATAGAAATACATTTCTCTAATAATCTTTCTATTGATGTGCTCATTTTTTAGCATTCTTGAAAATTATCTCATTATGAGCTTCCCAGCATGCACTTTGCCTGGTACAAACTGCATCTTTTCTGCTCCAAGCAATGTTTGTATTCAGAATGAAATGCTATGCTATGCTATGCTATGCTATGCTATGCTATGCTATGCTATGCATGGACAAAGATATCTGATTATCTCAACATTTCACCACCACAGAAGTTTATAACTACTTTCCATTTCATATAATTACATATTAACACTGTATTTTCAGAGTGCAGTAAGTTAAACATCTAAGAGCCACAAAGGCCATTAGTTATTTAGCTGCAGAATTCATTTCTGTTGAAAACATCTTATGGGCATGCTGAAGTTAAATGGAAAGACTTTGAGAGTACTAGAAAGTATCTTAACTTCAAGTACAATTGTAATTTGCAGGTAGACAGTCTTTGCTATAGGTGTTTTAAAAGCACCCTCAAAGCCTATGCCAGGGCAGTAGGACTGCAAGACCCAGTATCATATCGTGAGCAGCTACTGCATCATATCTCCCCTTGCAAGAGCAGGACAATGGATCAAGACAACCATTCCCTTGTACAGGGCGATTGAACTTAACCTTATAGATAAACCAAGGTTTCCAAACCTTGGTATCACACTTTTTTTTCTGTTTCCCCTTTGTGCCTTCTGCTACAGGAAAAGACAAACAAAGGCAAAAATGTTAAATAATGAAAAAGCATAGGCAGATAGTCATGATGACCACAGGATGTTCAGCAGATGTCTTTGAACATGAACAAAGGTAATTTAAGCACTGGGAAGTAGAAAATCTACATATCCCACATTTAGCTGACTGGAGGGGAGGCTTACAAGCATCAGGAGGGGGAAAAATCAGCTTACAATTGGCCAACTATAAGACCACAGGGCCACCATTGATCCAGCAGTCACAGTCATGAGCTTGGCTGGGCTCTTGTACCTGTCCTAAAGCGCCTGTCCAATACCACCTGCAGGTAGTCAGCTCCCAGCTTAATCTCCAGCAATGACTTTAGTGAGCACACAGCATATCATTACATTTGCATTAACCGGTCATCACGCTGTTTCTTGGATGTTTTGTTAATTTTGGTTTCATCTTGTCCAAGTAAGTGCTGTAACAAGGAATTCTGGATATGAGTGATCACTAACAATGCATATGAAATGTTGGAAGTGCCACATCTTGAAAATGCATGAATATACTAACAGTATTTTTGCCTGCTTAGAAAAACCCAAACAATACTACATGGCATGCAGTTATAATAGAATACATTTTGTTCTTGTTTATCTGAAGAGATGGCCAGAAATGCACTGAGCTGGGCTGACTAAAATGGAAATAAACCTATTTAAAATTTAAGGAATAGGAAAAAAAATCTTAGAGACTAATCTATAATAGTTGGGTAAAATTTGTTTCTATTTGTTAATTTTAATTTCCTTTACAAGGTTATTCTGTACTGTAAGATACACTGCCATTGATAAAGTCTCTATCAAAAAACAATTACATCAAATCAGTTTCATTCCCAAATGAAATATATTCAATGAAAATGAAAGTGTGTAAGAAACAGATTCATACTATCGAGAATTTTGAGAAATTATTTCCTAATAAATATCATACAATAGAAGAAAAAGGAGTGGAGAAACCATGAAATAAAATACATTTCTCTTCTTCACAGTCAAAAGCTAAGTTTTAAGGAGCGGGTCCGGATGGCCAGCCCACGAGGTCAAAGTATAAAGAACAGGCAATCTTCAGTTGGAGATCGCCGGTCACCAAGTGCCGACATTGCCACCGAGGGCAGCCCAACCAAAGTCCAGAAGAGCTGGAGCTTCAACGACCGGACCCGCTTCAGGCCCTCGCTGCGGCTGAAGAGCTCGCAGCCCAAACCCGTGGTTGACGGTAGGAGTTTTTCTCACCTCGTTTGCCATTGTGCGCTGCTCCCAGCCTGCTCGCACTCTCGCATACCTGCACGAGACCTGTGAATGAGACCTGGTTTTGGAAAACAGAAGGAATCCTTATATCAGGGCAGAGATACTAGAAAGCGATAGCCTGCTTCAAACAGCATGCCGATGGGATTTTTTTTTTAATAAGAAATCTTGTGTCAGCGGTGCATAGGGAATGACTGACGGAAAAGGGGCTCACTACAGAAAATGGCAGCTGGACTAAATGCATCCATGGGTTTGGCTGTGGCAGCTCTGCCATCACAGTCCCTCTCCGCTGGGCACAGCTGCTGCCCAAACCCGCTGCCTCTGGCTGGTGGGCCATGCACCATGGCCATCGCTGCGCTGGCTGCGTCTTTGCCAGCCAAGAGCACAGTGTGTACGGCATGGGCCCCTCCCAGGCAGAGGAGCTTGCTGGGGAGCTGGGACATCCCCCCTTACTCCCACTGGGGATACAACCACCTGCCGCCAATGATACACTACTGGGTGCTTTAAGTTTTACAGGGTTGTATCCGGTTTGGTAAGGCAGGTGGCTTTAGCAAACAAAACCAGTGTTACTGCTTTTATGTATTGCTTTCCAAAGGGTATTTTAGATGTAGGAAGGACTCCTAATGCACGAGGGTGTGGATCGTTGTGAAGCTGACCCCGCAGCAGGCAGGAACATAGCCTTTCCTGCACGCTGCCTCACCACAGGAGCGGAAGCTGCCCCTCTCTGCTCTCCGTTTGCCAGCTGAGGTCCTCTCAGGTGTTAAACTAGCCACTGTTCAGGCAAAGATCTTCATCTACAAAAGCTTGCCAAAATGGAGACAGTGACTCCCCTAACCGGGGAGCACCGAAGCAGGTGAGAGCAGCCCCCCGACAGGCAGGAGCTGAGAGCATGGGATGAACCCAACCCCTATAGAGACGGGTCCTGCACTGAAAGGTGCACTCACGCAGCTCTGGGGGTACCGCTGCCCCAGTGGATTTGGATTTGGGGTTCTCCATTCATATTTTTCCCAACTTATGAATGTTTTGTTCTTTCCTGTGGGACCCCCAGGCAGAAAATAAGGGAAACAAAGTGACTGGCTACAACAGGAGTCAGCATCCCTGACTGTATGGGAAGGGTACAACGTAAATAATTTGATCCAAGTAAAGAGATATAACTTTAAACTCTTTCTATGATGGCAATCACGCATGTTACATCCAACAATTGTGGTCAAACTAATTAGACAGAAGTGAGATTTCAGTGTCTGTTTCCTTTTTAGTGCACATATTATCACAGACACATAGGTTGCAAAATACCCATTGAACTGAAATGCCCCATCCCTCAGCTGAGGATGTCCTACGCAACACATCTCTTCAGGAAAAGCCTGGGAAAATAGACATTTCCTGGAGGGCAAACAAGACAAGCCAACAGTGTTTGCTAAGGTTATCGTTCCAGGCTAGCCTTCACCCGCAGACACCTCTCAGATGCGCAAATCCCGAATTTGGCTGCGTTACAGTGAGCTGCTGGGATGTACCAGCCACCAGGCTGCTATCCAGGTTGCTCACCACTCCTCGCTCCATTCTGGGGCATGGGCCCTGGCTTGTGTCCCATGGCAGCTGCGGCACAGAGGCTGTGCGATGCCAGCCTGGATCTCACACCGCTGTGAAGCTGGGACAAGAACACTTGCTCCGCAGTGGGAAGTGAGAAATGCTCCAGGTACCAGAGTGGGGTTCAAGCTACCCTGTATAAATTTAGACTTCCTACGTTATCACTCATATAGCACGAGTATCTCCCTAAAACCATGCCAGAAGTGATTTCATAGGTTAAACCCCCGTAACTCACACTGCACCTGGAAGTGACCTAAGAAGAGAGTAATTTGTTGAGCACACTCCCGGGGTATCAGCGGATCACTTCTGCTCCAGCCCTGCACCTCGCTCAAGCATCCATTTAGTTTTTCATCAGCCCATTTGTCACAGAAACATTTCCTCAATGTGTCCTCTATTTTGTCCCGTACGTGTTGTTGTTAATAGCAGTGATCTGCACAAGAAGATCGTGTTCCCTCTTATTGTCTCCCTTTCATGGAAAAGGTGGCATAAACGGCACCTTGGGTATTTCTGTAGATAAAAGATAACAAAGCGTTCATTGCTGTGCGTAAACCCTTAAAGATCTTCCTGCTCCTCAGGGCGAGTGCAGTCTGTTTCCTTGTCAGAGGTTTCCAGCTACTAGTCCACCCTTATGAACTGGGGCCAACAGATATGACCAATTTCTCATCCGTGGCAGGAGGAACAGCTTCCATTGTCTCTAGCTTTTAGGCAAATGCCAAGTTTCCACTTCGGGACCTCGTCCAGCTACTTCTAGGACTGGTATCACCAGAGAGATGTCCAGTGTGCTCATTGCTGAAAGGCAGCTCCTTGCTACCTTATCCAATCTGTTGCAGGAAAAGTCAGGTGCTACCAACCTTGATTTTTTTTTTTTTTTGGTGTGTTACTGATGTCATAGTTTGATATGCTTTCTGCATTTGACAGCTCAATGAAAAGGATCTGGAGATGAGTATTTAGTTTAAAATATCTAGCATTTTTCACTGGATGAAAATACAGTATTTGCTGCATTTAATTAATATCTCTCAGTTGTCAGGTCTTCCAGTTTCATCCGTGAGGCATTCTCCAGCCAAAGGATTAATTATTTTGGTGTGCTGATCTTCCAGCCAAACTAGAAGCCACTTCTTTCTAGGTGAAAGTCTGGACACAAAGCAATACCCTTGAACAGCCGTTCTTTCTGGTGATTCTTACATCTCTGTAGCATGGTTGGGGGGCGGGGAGCGGGGGGGAAGAAATGGCACTTGCAATAGAGGCAATATAGCACTGGGTACCCAGTCCAGTGTCAAAACTTTATATCAGTGATCTAATGAAAAAGTAATAAACTCTCACTATGAACTTCCCCTTCCAAAAGAGAAGATAATCTGATATTTGTTTGTTTTTTCTTTCACCATATGGGATTTGGGATTGTAAATGATGTTCCATTAGCACAGGCAGAGGAGGAACTACCTCACTGTGAAGGTGAGGTGCACTGAAATCTGTGTAAAAATAAAGCGAAGAAGCAAATATATAGGTAGAGGGTTCAGAAAGGAAGAGAAATTGTTAGCGTATGAGGATGATCTAAGGCAGATCGTCAATGCAGTGACTTTGCAGGGCTGAGTTCTGATAAAGGATGTGCTTGGAATCTGGCCCAAAATGATCTGAAAGAGACTGCTGGAAAAACTAACATTATCAACTAGAAACTGTCCTGTAAAGGGAGGTTTTTAATCCAGACAGGAGCTTATGGAGGCAGCTAACAGGCTAAGATGACTGAAAATGTAGTAGCCTTCCTCTTAGGCTACCCAGTAACAAAAGCGTACTAACACTCCCCGGCTGCATACTAAAACCACAGAAGGAGGGTTTCTTGGCAGCAAGCAAAACACTTAAGCTGGCCACAGGTATCTCCCGAAAGGATTTTGGCATAGCAGCCTTAGAACAGTATGGCCAAAACTGTTGCACAAATGGCTTTATTTATGGGTAGCAACAGTCCTCTGAAACAGCCTATAAACCATTTATTGCTATTGCCAAAGTGGGCCAGGCAACGGCAGCAATTATTTCAGCTACATATGTGCATTTGCAAATTGAATCTGAACCTGAGAGTGCTTTGATGGCTGGAGAGAGCTTTGGTGGCGTGGCTGCCGATGCTCTCTGAAGCATTTAACAACAGCACAGGGGGGCAAAATCAAAACCCAAGACTCATGTAATCTGATTTTAAATACATGTCCAGTCTCTGGTGACATGTGGCTTGCAACTGCCAGAACCCTTATTGAAGAAGAGGCCCTGCACAAATTAATGAAGGTGCCAGGATGCTGTATTTCCAATCCCTGTTATCAGTTTGAAAGGGAATTATCAGGACCAGGCAGATCGAAGGGAAATCTTCACAGCTGGAGAATGGTAAATAGTGAAGTTTTACAAAGCGTACACTTAAAAGGATGCAAGAATCACGTAGGGTCATGCAAGAATCTCCCCTGAAGGGATGCCACATTACACAGGCGAAGGCGCTGCCTGACCTCGGAGCCGCACGCAGCCGCCGCCATTCCCATACAGCAGACAAGCCAGGAGCTGCCTCTGGCCCCGAGGCCTCCCCGTGCAGTACGGCTTGCGTCCCGGCACCAAAACCAGGGAAACCGCAGCCAAACTGCCCGTGGGGAACAGCTCGCAGCACGTGAGAATACCCACTGGCAGGGGCCAAACCCATGCCAGAGTCTGTGCAAGTGATTAAACAGTACGAGTGATCTCGTGCCATTGCTTAAGGCGCTGTGCCCATGTCTTGTTGTATCCAGCCATAGAGACTCACCTCACAAAATTTCTCCTTTCCTCTTTTCTGAGGAAGAGAACCTTTTCTGCTTAAATCGTGTTCCAGTCTTGCATAGTCACAGCTGAAGTAATGAACGGATATTATGTTGTGCATGCAGTTCTCAATGCCCCATTGTACTTGTTTGGTACTATCCCATGCTTCTAAGCCTCTGCATGAGTTATTGTGCCTTTACTGTAACCTAGAGACATTGTGCAGCTTTTTGAATAAAACATCAAGAGCGTTCAGCACTGGAGATATTACAAACATACTTCATTTGATTAATTAAAAAGAACTCTCTAAGGAAATATTTGATTTCTTGCACCATGCCTGAACATTATATGCTCACACGACCTCTAGCCTTTCATTCCCTACAGAGTACTTGCACAAAATCCTCAGGGTAAAGTATATTATAAGAGCCACGGAAAGAATGCAATTGTGCATTTCAGCCCCCATATCCTCAGTTACTACTGTGTAATTTATGTATTGCAAAAATGACAGGTTTTCCTTTCAGTAGCACAAACATCTTGACCTTGTATAAGGTTCACTTGATGTAGCAAACGTCCTTAGTTTGGTTGCTTTTACATCGAGGTTAGCTTAAATTTGCTGATTCAAAATGAAGCTGC